CAAACAGAATGCACACCTCTACAGCCAGGATCTGTAACTTCGGCTCAGTCTTCTTGCAGGATTATATCACCCCAACTCCATCAGAAAGCAGATACATCTCCCCCAGGGAGATTATATGAGAAGTGGGGGGCTTACCTCTCACTAATCTAATTATTCTGAAGATCCATTATTTAGAAGTGGAAACCTAAACTGCTTTTGGTTCAACCTTGTATCTTACTTAGATGTGTTAGTCAGAAAAGCCTTCAGGAAAAAGGTTACCTTGTTCAAGACTTGAAAATTGTAAACCAATCCTAAACCACCACCAAAGACATCTTTTATTTCTACAGCCTTTCTTCCTTGTTTTGAAAAATCTGAGTGGCCAAACCATATTTATTCATATTTAATTCTCCAAAGGGATAAGAACATTACTATACCAATTTTGTTTTTTTCTTATGTTTATTTATTTTTTAGAGTGAGAGAGAGCAAGAGAGCGTGAGCAGGGGAGAGGCAGAGAGAGAGGAAGACAGAGGATCTAAAGCAGGCTGAGATCATAACCTAAGCCAAAGTCAGATGCTTAATGGACTGAGTCACCTAGGCGCCTCCCCAATTTCGTATTTTTATCCAAAAAGTACAAACAATTTCTGTTTTCGGGGCCCACACAGGTTTATACCAAATAAATGTACAATTTCCATTAAGTTCATTCAAATAGTCTTCATGTGGGCATGATCAACCACATGGCGGACGATCCATAGTAAAACACGGTACCTAACACATGATAGCATTAACGGTGTGTCAGACACTAAGTATTATATATGTATACGTACATATATGCTATACTAATATATATAAACATATACACACACATCTATTCATTTAATCCTCAAAACAACTTTGTGAGGTACTATTACTATCCTCACTTCAAAGATGAGAAAAGTGATGCCCTATGAGGCTAAGAAACTGGGCAGCGTAACATTACAACAGACATCACAACAAAGTATGAACTTTGAGAAAACATTTACAACCGGGCTTTGTTGTTATACTGACTTCCTACCTAAACTCATTATTATCCCCGTTAATGAAAAACTAATGCTACTGCAATCAGCCCATAGGCCCTCCCTTCTCACTTCCCCCTCCCACAAAATCTCATTTCTCAAGTTCCAGTACACACACTATAGTATTACTGCCATTCTAACCATCTGTCCACGTTAAGAGAAATGTCTTAGACCAGGTGTATAAGCACCACTCCCCAGACTGGTGCTAATACAGAACAAAACTTCCAATGGTCTGAGACAAAAGGGGATGGGGGACAGATGACATATTAATTTTCTTATGAAAACCAATTATTTAACGTTCATTGTGAGGTTGTCCTTAGTACTTTCTCAGTGTTAAAATATGATAACAATGACTCATGCTTAGATTGTTATCATCCTTACCGGCCAAATAAATTATTTTTTTTAATGTTTATTTTTGAAGGAGAGAGACAGAGCATGAGCGGGGGAGGGGCAGAGAGAGAAGGAGACACAGAATCTGAAGCAGGCTCCAGGCTCCGGGCTGTCGGCACAGAGCCCCAAACGGGGCTCAAACTCACAAGCTTGAGATCATGACCCAAGCTGAAGTTGAATGCCCAACCAACTGAGCCACCCAGGCGCCCTAATGTTTATTTATTTTTGAAAGACAGAGCATAAGTGGCAGAGGGGGAGAGAGAGGGAGACACAGAACTCTTAGCAGGATCCAGGCTCTGCACTGTCAGCCCACAGCCCAACGCATGCCTCAAACCCACGAACGGTGAGATCATAACCTGAGCCGAAGTCGGATGCTTAACCAACTGAGCCACACAGGCATCCCCCCTTACTGGCCAAATAAAAAGTCAGTGACCCCATCAATCCCCCCCAAAATCCTAAACGTTACAATAACAAATATAAGCTGCATCTATTATGTATGCATAGAGCGGGGGAGGCAGTGGAAGATGAAAGAGAGGCATAGGCAAAAAATGAACTGAAAACTAGCAGAGCCAAAAGGAAGCAGACGCTACTTTCACATTTAACAATGACTTACAGACTTGAAAGAGACTGGTCCAGGTAACAGGTGCAAACAAAATAAAGCTTTTCAATATTTCAGTATCTTATTCAGAAAAGAGTACAAGCATTGAGGCAAGTTTTCATTTTATGGGATTGCATTTCATGGAATACAATGGGGGAAATTTTTTAAAAGATGACAAATATGGATTTAAAAATGGAAAGCAAAACTCATAATTCTCAACAATACTAGGGAAAGGGGATTTTAAAAAGTATCAATTTATTTTCTTTCCAAAAAGCTGCATAGAGGGGCGCCTGGGTGGCTCACTCAATTAAGTGTCCCACTTCAGTTCAGGTCATGATCTCATGGTTCGTGTTCCAGCCCCGCATCAGACTCTGTGCAGACAGCTCAGAGCCTAGAGATTGCTTCAGATTGTGTGTGTCTCTCTCTGCCCCTCTCCCACTCATGCACTATCTCTCAAAAATAAATAAACATTTTAAAAAAAACTTTTTTAAAGCTGCACAGAGAAGACTGTTAAAGCATACACTCTAGAGCCAGCCAGAGGCCCAACTCTGTTAGCATAGGACTTTTACCCACTCTCTGCTTTAGTTTCCTTAAAGATTGTTACAATTAGAGGAGTTAGACACGTAAAGTGCTTAGAAGTCTGGCACTAGTGCTTCAAAAGTACTGTCATAAATATTACTTAATAACAAGAAAAAACAATGGTAAAGTAAGGACTAGAATGAAGACTATAAAAATTACAGTGCTAAAAGTAGTCGAGGTTACTGTTCAAAAAAGTTCTTAAAAAGTTAAGTAGAACCATTTTTTTTAACGTTGATTTATTATTGAGAGACAGAGAAACACAGAGCATGAGCAGGGGAGGGGCGGGGGAGACACAGAATCTGAAGCAGGCTGCAGGCTCTGAGCTGTCAGCACAGAGCCTGATGCAGGGCTTGAATTCACAAACCCCGAGATCATGACCTGAGCTGAAGTCGGATGCTTAACTGACTGAGCCCCCCAGGTGCCCCAAGTACAACCATTTTTATTTACATAAAGTATGAGGTTAAGCAGGACTTTTCAACTTTTCAATTTACTTTTATTAATTAGATTAGGAAAACATCTGAATCCATTTAGGATAACCTCAACAGGTGGAGACCCTAAATTCTTTACAAGATTGCTTCCAAAGCTCAGGAATGCACTGCTCAACGGAGGCTGCATCTGGGAGAAGAAGCACACACTCAATACTCTCACCAATAAAAGAAAACTTCCTCCCAGCAATGGATTCAGAGACACACAGGCTATAAGCTGATAAAACCTAACTACCCGTAGCTGAGTCCGTCAGCCAGAAGTATACTAGGCTTCCACGGAAAAATTCACAGGCCAGGTGATGTATGCACCACAGGATGCACACCTGGTACCTCCACTCCTCCAGGTTGGGGCATCTCACCCTCCGTCTGCTATCCCTTCCCTGGGATTCCAACATAGCCTGCTCACTGTTCATAAAGGATCTCCCTAACACAAGCTTTTGCAGTTCATCCTGCCATCTACCCCTTCTCTCAAGCCACCTCTACACTCAGGATGAATTAAGGAACGTTTTCATTGACACATCACTTTATTTCTCAGCACACACATTATCCAATTCCTTGCTATTCAAGAATTGTTCCTTGTCTAGCAGCACCTAGGAGCTCATAAGATATGCAGAATATCAAGATGCATCACAGATCTACTAAATCAGAATTTGCATTTTTAAACCAGATCCCCAAGGGATTCCTGTGCACATTAAGGTTTGAGAAGCACTGCTCTGACTCTACTGCAGGTAGCTGTAAAAAATTTTAAATACTCAAGTTTACATCTGAATTTAGAGATACAGCATGAAGATTCCAAGACATGTAATCAGAAAAGCTCATTAAGAAAAATGACCAGCATATAAATGAACTTGAGTGTACAGATTTTTAACAATGCCTACATTTAACACTTCCTGCTTTCAGTCAGTATTTTGTGCAACAGCACACTAATAACATACAGTTTTACTGGTACTGTATTTTGTTGTACAAAGAGTACAAATAATGACTGGTTCTAGGTGTCCCCGCGCAACCCGGCCCAAAGCTGTTCAACCTGCACGCGACTCCTGAGATTTAGTCCAATTTGGGGTTGACGGATACAGCTCATTCCCGAAAATCATCATTCAGAAAAAAAACAAACACCCTAAAGGATGTGAACTTTATATCATTTTCCTGAAACTAAAAACTGCTTAATAGCTGGTACTGAACAAACTCTAGGTCATTTGCAGAACCGAAAATTGTTTAGGTTTGTGTTCGTTTTTTGCAGGAAAAGTAGGAGGGATCAACTTTCACAAAGTTTCTCTCAGATCCTTAAAGGCCTCAACTTGCACGTTCTTACAGGTGAACAAACTTAAGTCCCACTAAAATATGGTCACGTTTCTTTCCTCAAAAACGAGAAAGGTTTCGCTAGTCTAAAGGCTGCATTTTAAAAGGTTTGGGGATTACGGGTCCCTTTTGCTTCCGGCCTGTGAAGGAAACGTGTTGCCTAGGCTGAAATGAACAGGGAAATTTACCAAGTAGGAAGTTGAGCCCGTCCACCCACCAGGCTCTACCCTCTCGCTGCATTTGGCCTTGCAGCCTAGACCCCAACCTCTCGAAGGAGGGAAGGCGGGCTGGCCGACTGGGGGAAGCAACCTCCTCTCCGTGCCCGCCCTGGAGCTAGAGGAGCCTCCCTCCCGCCACCCAGCCCCCACGCCGATCCGGGAGGCGCACAAACGGGGGCGGTGCGACTACCCGTTCGCGGCGACAGCAGCAGCAGCACCCTCAGGCCCTCCCGGGAGGCGGCGGCAGCTGCAGCAGCGGTGCTGGGAAAGGCGGGACTGGTCCTAAGAAGCTGAGGGGGAGGCCGGGGCGGGAGCGACTGCATGTGGGGGGCTGCACTGGAGGGAGGCGGAGGCGCTCAGGGGGCTCGGGCTTTTTTACGATATCATCATCTTGTTTTACCTGTGGCGCAGAAGGGCTCCCCAGCTCCTATTCCCTGAATCCTCCTCCTCCTCCCCTCCTCTTTCTCTCTCTCTCCCTCAGTCTCTGCCGAGCGCTCGTGGAACCAGCCGGGCCCGGCCGGACCAGAAAGAGAACAGGGCGGGAGGGGGAGGCGGCGGCGGTGACCAGCGACCACGTGACCACGCTCGCGCCGTAACGGCGGCCGCCTCCTGCCGCGCGCCCTCCCCGCGCTCCACCTCTAATAACCCCGCGGCTCCAACGCCCAGGACGTTTGTGCGCAGGCGCCCGCCCGGCCTAGAGGCTGCGCGAGCGCGCAGCGCGCTCGCTCCCAGGGCCAAGTCTGCGGGCCCCTGAGAGGCGCGACGTGCGGAGGGAGCCACAGGCCAAACTACTCTGCTGAGCCGGCCATCTGCCAGGGCGCATGCGCGGGAAGTCTTTGCCCCTCACTCCCCCCACACACCCCGCCTCCCTTCTCTGTTCTTTCTCATTCCCCTACCAGCGCGCGGCTGTAGGATTAGGAACCTGCTGAGGGGACTTAACACTCACACTCACCACCACCTTCCCGGGATGGGACTGAGAGTAAGAGATGACAGCCTCTGGGAAATTCCTGAGAGGCAGGTCCTCCTACCTCAAAATTTACGTTTCCTTGTTGCATGTAAATGGCCTTCCGTTCTACATTTTACTATGTATAGCTGAGTAGACTCCTATCCATGCTTCAGGACCCCGCCTGTCACTTACTTTGGTGAAACATACACCACTCTGCTTTTGGGAAGTCATTAACATTTTGTGCAGACCTACTTTAGTATAACCCAGAACGAAATAATATATTACAGTCATTTCTTTACAAACCCACAGTACTAGGCTTGGATTTTATCTCTTACTCATAAAACCTAAGACAGTAAGTGTGTTCAGCATTGTATCTCAGTAAAGTCCCGATGACTGTCAGCACACAGGCAATACCTAAACTCTAAGTCTTCATGCCATTCACCTATGCTTACTCATGATTTAAGATTCCCTTTAACCCTAGCGCTCAGAATGCCTGGTGTTTGTTTCTGGAATATGAAAGCCTTTGAATGGTGATGCTAATTAGAGTGGTAAATTCTTCACCTAGTAAAAAAAAAGATTTATGGTCTTTTATTAGCCTATCTTCATAAAGAGCTCCAAAAGAAACTGATATTGTTGAGTCCAGAAGAAGACAGAGAAAGATCAAATTTCCAAAGGTTAGCTACCTTCTGCGGAGGGTCCCTGTGTGGGAGACCTTTGTTCACAAACACTCCCCTTCACATAGGGATTCCCTCTCTTTCTGTTGGCCCTCTTTTTTGCAGAAGCTGGTTAAGTCAATGGCTCTGACCATATCTAATCTGGGCAAATAATTAAAATGTAAAAACTTACTAATTGGCAGTTCCGGTTAAGTCCAGTCATCCTTACCGTGATGCTAGGTGAATACCGAGCTGATGTTCACGAAACATAACTAACAACAAAATTAAAGAAAATGTTGGAGTAAATGTTAATCAAGAAACAGTATTAATGAGAGCTTCTGAGAAACTAGGAAAGTCACAACCCTCAAGACTCCAATCTGATATGTCTGAAATGTTGATGGACTCTTTTCTACATTTACCAATGTGTGCACATGCCCAGTGATCCTACCTGTTGGTTGCAGCTACCACCCAGGATATGCTAGTAGCATCCTATTCTAAGTATCCAGTCCAAGGTTCAGACTCTATGAGAGACTATTCTGGTGGCCCACAATGAACCATGCCTCCCCAGTATCCATGCCTTTGTGTAACATTCTCCCTTTGAATGTGGGCTGGATCTGTTACTGCTTTAAACAAAAGAATGAGGCAAAAGTGACTGCCAGTTCAGGCTGAGGCCCTAAGAAGACTTTGCAGTGACAACATTGAAATTTACTGGAGCCTATACTCATGGAAAACGGAAATGACTAAGAAATCCCCCCCCCACACACACACACGTGTTTGTGTTCTGGGAAATGGCTTACCACAAAGAACCACCCTTCCCCGTGTGACTTAGATGAAACTTTGTCCACTCTCTCATAACACTAGCAGGTGACTCCTTGTTCACCTGTGATAAGGCCAAATACAGACCTTTCCCTTTTTGTCTAAACCTGTTGACAAGGCCAGGCACAAACCCTTCAACTTCCTTTGTCTCATAGATGATTAGCTGAGATTAGAACTGTTTGTCCCCTTAAAATTAGCTAGACCCAGATATCAACACATCCTGGCTGATTAAGACATCCCCTGATTACAAAACAATTCTAACTGATGTAGGCTGGCTGGTCCAAGGACCCAAAAGAGGTCCCACAAGACAGGCCAAGAGAGTCTTTGGCTTTGCACAGGATAGACATCAAACATAAGCCAAGAGGAAGTGACAGCAGAGTTTACCGAAGACACAGAAAGAGTGCAGACAGTATCTGGGAGTCTCAGAAAGGGAAAAAAAAAAAATGAGTCTTGTCTTTACTTGGTGTCTGTGTTTTTACTGAGGATTGTAGACTCATGTACATGTCTTCTCAGGCATTCAGGAACAAAGATGAGTACTTAAGTGTCCTCCATAAGTCATTTATGACCTGGAGCTAGGGGTCTTAGAAAAATGTTCATGATGACACGCATGGTCACTCCTTAGATGTTATCTACTGTGCTGGAAGACTCCAAAGAAATCATTGAATCCTTGACCTTTACAAGGAGGACATACATTATCTGTACCACAAGACATGTGTAGGGTGGGGGTGTAGCAAGAACAGAGACAGCAAAAAAGCCATCTTTCATAGGGTCCCTTCAGATTCCCTATCTCACAACTATAAGCATCCGTTGATAACCTCTCTATAAAAGTTCAAGTTGCTCTTATACTCCAATCTTCAAATCTGGGTACTCTCTCCTTTGCAATAGTCTGCATAAAATCTATTTTCCTTGTTTGTTCTGTTTATGTTTTTGACGACAGCTTCCGTTTTCCCCCTTTGGAGGTAGTACCATGTAAGAAATGTAACTACTCTGAGGTTACCATGATGTCAGAAGTCTAACCCCAGTCATTTTGAGAGGCCAAATAGAAGAAAACTCAGGCCCCTGGCTAACAGCCCTAGATGTGCTCCCACTGGGCACAGCCAACTTGGCCACACTTGTAAGTGAGCCATCTTGGAAGTGGATCCTCCAGTCCCATCAAGTTGCCCCAGCTGAGACCACATGGAGCAGAGACAAGCTATTCTCCACCATGCCCAAATTGCAGAATTGTGGGCAAATAAATAAAAGTGTTGTGTGAAACCACTCAGTTTTGTGGTAGTTTGTCAGGTAGCAATAAGTAACCAGAATAGACCTATATCTCCAGCTGCCTGCTAGAGATGTGTCCCAAGAGTTCCCACAGGCAACTCAAACACAACCTGCTCCAACTGAGTTTTGCAAATCCCCTCCAAACCTGCCTATTCTCCTATATCCTCTACCTCTGCTGATGATGCATTTATCCCCCAACTAGCACCAGGGCCCCAAACAGAAAACCTGGAAAATTTCTCTGACTCCTCTTTATCCTACAACATTCAGTCACCCAAGTAATGGGCTTTCTTCCCCAGGCCCACCCCCTTCTCACTTCAGGTGCTCTTCATCTCTCTCCTGAACTACTGAGGACTAGTCAGGGAAAAGTCATACATGTACCCAGATTAGTTTAGAGGTTTATTGTCAGCCAGGGAGGGAGGAGACGGAAAACCAGCCTAGTCATCTCCCATCACCTGTGTCGAGTGGTTTCATGCTGGGAGGCCCAGTTGGTGTTTGGAGAACCACAGAATGACTCCATAATTTAGGTCACAACAGTAGCTCTAGGGATTCAGCTTCTCTCTGGCTCCTCACATCCTTAATCTGCAAAAGAAAACCTGAGGGGTCCGTCAGTCTCCAGTTGCTACAGAGTACCCTGACAGAGCTGAGACTGGTCTGCAGCCTAATCAAGGAAACAGAAACTAAAGTAATAAAGCTGATGATTAATAACTCCATAAAATATAAACATTGTATGAAAATTCATTTTGAGTTATGCTACTTATAATACAATTCATATTTTGAGGTAGAAACATTAAATTTGAATCAGCATCAGCATTGTTAGAAAAAATAGCAATTGAGACAATTTTGCTGCAGCTTGGTTCTTTGCTTTGGCATCAATGTGCGTTCTCTGTCTCAGGACATGGCAGAAAATGAAGCACACACACACACGCACTCACGCACACACAGAAAGGCAGGTGTTCTCTGGAAAAAGTAGAAACCCTCTCCTAGGCCTCTGTCTCTGGGGACACTCAGCCTGGACCTTTTTGGCCAGGCCAGTATCTGCACCCCTTCTCCTGGCTCTTTTCTCTTTCGCTTCACTCAGCTCACCTAGGTAAATAAGCCACATTCAGATCTTGAAACCGCCATAGGGACCTAGACTAACATGATAACAAGATACACATTCTGAAACATGGCAGTGAGAAGAGTATGGTAAGCATGCTCTGTGTGTGGAGCTGGTATTAGGAATCATCTCCTCCCTTAGTAAGTACCCTGTGCAGCATCCTGGGAAACAACTTGCTCAGATCTTCTGCTATAAGGAACACAGTTGGCTTTCAGCCTTGCCTATTGCCTGGCCAGATCCAGCACTGTGTTTATGCTGAGATATTTCCCCTGGGCTTCTCCCAGTCAGTGATTGAGCACACAAATGGGATTAGTGCAGACCCATTCTTAAGGAATGCAGGATTCCTCTAAGGGGCAGCTTTGACTTAAAGATTCTCCCTACGCTGGTCAAAACTTTCTTAAGGCTGCCTGCAGTCTTAAGTTCTTCTTGGTTAATCTACCTTCCTTCCCCCTTAGCTTTTACAGTTGTCGCCCTGCATTGCGGTCCGAAGGCTCTCTCTAGCTCAGCTTCCACTTCTTTCTCTCTATCGTTCACTGGTAATTCTCCCAATAAAACTTCTGTTCATCCAATCCCATTGTGGTGTCTGCTTCTGCGAGGACCAAAATTGAAACCTACCTTCCATGTAGGACTACTTCTGGCCCATCCTCAGACTAGAGCTACAGGGGATAGTTATGAGTAATACCAAGAAATCTAAATTCTTTAATTCTTTTGTGTTTGGTGTTTTGAGAAACTTCATCTCCTAGAGCCATCAAGTA